ATATAATGAGAAACATTTAATTTAGTTTTATAATTGTCAGTTACGTGAATGGTACGACTTTTTGAAATTATAGTGATAGCTAGGACGAGAGGCTATCTACAGCATTTATTCAATAATTTTGCTTTATACATTTTTTAAATTTTCTTTTCTCCTCTGTATATCACTCTCGCATAAAAAGCCCGTCAATTGTACATGTCATAGACCTATTGGAAAATCCAGCTTTTCTCAATTGTCGCTATCGTTTTACAATGCCTCAGGCTAATTAGATATATCTCCTGCATTTCTGTAATTTGTCTAATATTTTTTTAGAATTACTTTAATCCACCTATGTGCCTTTTAACTTATTTTAACGTAATTGAATGATTATAAAAGAGTGAAGAGCATAAAGTTTAGATTTTTTATTTATGTGATACGACTTTTTGAAATCAAAGTGAAGCTAAGACAATATGTCAAAAAAAATTTTTTTTTTTTTTGTGAAAAAAAAAGAAATATTTTTTTTCCGTGTAATATATGACTGTCTCATTAGTATTCTTTCAATTATATATGCGTTGTGACGCTCAGCTGTCTTGCCACAGGTCCCTAGTTCGATTCTCGGGCCGGGTACGATTGACTCAGCCTTTCATCCCTTCAGCGGGTCGATGAATGTAACCAAGCATGCTTGGGAACTAAACACTGGAGGTTCCGCGTTTGGTTGACCACCTGACCGGAACAACTGCTCCTGCACCCCAGAGCTCAAGGTCAGGAAAACTGAGATGAGCACAGTAGGCCTTGGCCCTCTATGAGCTGTCGCGCCACTGAGTTTAGTTTATATATGCGTCGAATGATTTTATTTTATTTTATAACTGTCATTGTACTGCCGGCTCAATGTTTTCGGTTCACGTCTACAAATGTTCAGCTCAGTCTGAACCCAATCCAAAAAACAAGGGAATTCCTGAATCAAGTATTGGCCTTCGAGGAGGACTTTTTTGATGGAACTAACCCTCATTTGGATTTTATGGAGAGGGAAACCACGAAAACCTCCCACGGTTATCTTGACTGCAAGGAGGCTCTAACCCATGATCCGTCTACCATTGAGAATACTTTATGTCAGCACTGTGGGTGGTGCAAGCCGGATGCGGATTTCGTAAGGACCAGCCATCGCTGAGATTTGGACGCGAGACAACCTCATTGAAGGGCGAAAGCTCTATACCTTCAGCCACCACGGCTCGCGTAGACTGCATATGTACTGCATATGTATCTGCATATATACTTTTTGTCTTCATGAAAAAATGCTTGAAAAATAACTGAATCAGCATGAATTTACTCCAAGCTTATTGCAACGAGTATGGCCTTATGTTACTCTTCGGATGTTTTCAGGACTGACTAAACCTTGTCATGATGTGCTAAGATTTAAGGTATCCGACTACCTTAAAAAAGAGGATTTTCACAAAAAATCACTTTTTTATTTTATTGCTTTATAATAATGCCCAATTTTTCTAGTTTTCAAAACTGTTTTGTTTTTGAATGCACGTCAAGCAGAACTTTAGTTATAGCTATTTTAGTAACAGATGACAGCTGTCCAACTTACCGGAAATTACAAAAATGAAGCCGGTAGTAGGTAATAGTTTCGGTTCCATTTCTATTTGTGTGTTTATTTTTCTTAGATATTTAATTTTTAAAAGCTCTTAAACTCACGTCTAATAATCTGAATTATGTTTTAATTAGATTTTACGTTTCGTGGTTACTGTTTGTGGGTAACATGAAAAGTTAGCATATTTTCTGATAGTTTGTTTACATTTGAAGCGTACTTTCTATATCTTGATTTTGATTTGTTTTGAAGAAATTTATTGATTTCTTTCAAAAAAATATGTTATTTATATTGATGAATTTATTGAAATGGGTAAAGGACGTACTTCTCGATCTAAGAAACGTAAATATTACGGTAATCAACATGCCACCAAAAGCGATGATTTGAGTAAAGTTGATTATACCATTTATTCAAAATTGTGTAAAGCAGATGAATCTATTACTTCAAGCTCTTCAAAATTATCGATTTCTATGGATGTCAATAAAGAACTGATGCCTTTGGATAAAAACAATCTGTGTGGCAATCGAATAATTGATATTGAGATCCTGATGGTGATATTAGCTTCATTATGTTGTCCGGTTTGCTATGATAACAAATTGCATTTAGAAGAAAATTCTAGATTTGAGCTATTATAAATATTATAAAAAATATTTTTTACTTCTAATTATTAATAAAAACTATATTTAGACATATATATTAAAGTGTGAAAATACAGTAAGATGGTTGTTTAATAAAAAATTGTTCCTGTGTTAAATGCTTTATAAGTAGTAGACTTTTGATGTTATTCACTAAATACTTTAAAATATCGCTAAATAATACGTTAAAATATCGCTACGTTAAATAAAACTAAGAAAATGTGTGAAGGAATGTGCCCCCTATAAAATATAATAACTTCCTACTGACAAACATTCATAGTTTTTAGAAAAAATGTAATTATAAACTTTAATTGTGTTTTTCTCAAAATGACAATTTTGCTGTTTTTTGTCTACGGAAAACAAGATAACTCAACTAATTATAATAAATTTGTCTTCAAACTTTCAGAGATTGTTTCTTGTATTGGTGGTTATGTAACAGACCTCCAGAATTCAGATAACTGTATTATTTTTTGTTTTATGAGATATTTTGCAGTAGATAATGTGAAGAAAATGTGAAAAAAAATGGAAAAATATGCTTAACACTCCATAAATTTTTTTAATTTCATGCTATCATTTAAGTTGAGGTTCATAACACTTCAGAGGGTTATACGAAACGGCTCAAAAAGTTTGATAGCTGTATGTACAATAGTTTTTTGTGTAGAGTGTTTTCCGTTAATGAGTTATTTTCATTAAAATTATCTAAAAAATACTCTTTAAACAAAAAATTTCCGGTATATTAAAATTTTCTCTATTAAATATGTTTATTTAAATTAATGTACAATATAAATTGCAATAATGTTGTGAAAAATATTTATTTTTCAAAAATTTTGTCCCGAAGGTAGTCGGATACCTTAACTTCATATAAGAATATAAAAACACTTAGTCATGATTATTTTTACTTTTTACTGAAATTTCTAACTGTTTTTAAATTAAATATTATTCAAAAATAAATAGTTATTAAAAATTTATTTTAACTGACATTCTTTTGCAATAAGTTAATTATTTTTATGGAACGCAATTAGTTAAGGGTAAATAATACCAGTATTAAATTTAAAAAAAAAAACATCTTCATAAAGTCGCATATAAGGCGGCATTCTTTCCTTAAAATTTAATATTACCTGATAAAAAATAATATCGCATTTTAATTACAGATAACTATATATTTTAATTAATTTTGGTACAAGCAAGAAAGAACTTCTTTTTATTCCATTCAAATAAACGAGAATGAGAGCGAAAAAATTATTTTAAATTATTAGAATATAATATTAAAAATGCAAATGTTACTTTAATGTTTATTCCATGAACTCCAAACTGAGTTGCTCAGTCATAAATATTTAAACATAAAGAATGCACTTATCGCCGACATTTTCTGAAATACTCATCAAAGTTCATGTATTCAATGATTTACTTAGTAATAATTTTTATTCGACATAGCTTCAAAGATTAAAGGCTTCAATATTTCTCGATAAAACTTTTTTTTATATTCTCGATAAGAATATTTTCTTCTCTCCCAGTAAGCTCCAAGTTTATCGAATAAGAAGAGATTTTGAGTTTACTCTTAATAGACCTGTCTATCAAATTTTCGCCCAAGGTTTGCACAAGGTGTCAGACGATAATTCATTTCAAGCTGCTGTAAATCGTTTTCATATTCGTTTATAATGTAAATCATTTATTCATACACTGTTTATAAGGTGTATAAATCCTCAGATTATAAGAAAAATCTTCAGATACTCATTTTATTCATGAAGTTTTCAAGTTCTATAAATTCTCTGAAAATTTAAGGGTAATGATACAGAAAAAATTAAAAAAAAAAACGATTGCGTATAATAAAAAACATTAAAAAATAACAATAAAAATTATAAAAAATTCACATACCCTCATTAATTAATGAAATATTTAAGTTGTATTTATCCTCATATATCAGTATTCAAAATGTAAAACTTAAGGAAATTGAAAAGTAATTACATACATTTAAAAATATTAAAACAAAACTATAAAAAAAAAGTCATCAGTGTGTCATTTATTCATACAATTTTTAAACTGTATAAATTAGAAATTTTCTTATTTTTTTATTTCCAATGGCAGACATGAAAGACAAATTTGTAGCTTAGAACAATATAAAGAAAGAACAAAAAACGGTAACAAGAGCTGCAAAAGGAAAGAGTCTATAGGTCTGTAATAAGGCATCTCGCCCGCCAATAACGTTCCCACAAGGGCCCAGGAGTAAGTGCAGGCCAACGTCTCAGATGGTTAGCGTCCATTTCTTCTTGTAGGTTACATAATGGACAAAGGGGGCTTGAAAAGATTTTGATTCTATACAGGTGTTTTGATAAACAGTCATGGCCAGTGGCAAGGCGAAAAAGGGCCACAGATTTTTCTCTTGGCCATGACGGAATATCTTTATTCCTTCCTGCCAGTCCTTATCTTTATTTGCTTCTTGGAGTTTTGCCTCAAATGTTGTTCGAAGAGAGATTTTTATTAGCCTTTTTGCGGTGTGGAAAGGAACTGGCTGAGATATTTGTAGAACCTTGGCGGCTTTTTTGGCCAAGAAATCTGCAGTTTCGTTACCTTCAAGTTCACAGTGCGCTGGTACCCATTGCATGGCGACATTTGTGTTGTGTTGGTCAAGCCAGTGAAGGGCTTGACGACAATGTAGAATGTCATCAGATGCGGGGGCTTTGGAGGAAGCAATTGCTTGGAGTGCGGCTTTGGAGTCAGAGAGGATGACTACGTTATTGAATTTCTCAAGGTGATTCTGTAGTTGTGATAGAGCAACGCTTATTGCCGATACTTCTGCATCGAAGGCTGTTCTAGACGAACCGATCGGGGTGTGAAATGAAGAAAGGTTGCATGAAACTCCGGCTCTTGCATTAGTGCCATCAGCCAAACTTGAGCCGTCTGTGAATATATATAGCCATTCGTTCTCCGGATACAGTAAGTACAAAGTCTCAAGGGCGATAGATTTTAAGACTTGATCATTTGTGTCTCTCTTGGAAACATCTTGACATAGGTTTATACCCAGTGAATATCTCTCTTTTTCGATAGGGCACTGTGATCTAATAAGGTCTTCTGTCTTCCAAGCAATATTTAGTTGGTCTTTTATTTCAACGACTCTTTGGAGGAAACCATTCTGGGTCTTCAAAGTTCGACCAATATTTGCCAGTGGGGTGCTCCACAGGGAGAGGCAGTCTGGTAGTCTTAAAATTATAAATTAGAAATAAATTAGAAATAATAAGCGAAATAAAATTTTAAAAATAAGAAGCATAAAATAAGAATATTAAAAAAATAACAATACAACTTTAAGGAGAAAATAGACTCATTTGTTTATAAAATTAGGTTTTTTAAATCTCCCTAAAATGGGACTGCTATAATTTTCAAAAATTGAAAAGCGATTACTCACAAAAAAAATACACCAAATAATAATAATAAATATATATTTTCTGATATTCATTTATTCATACATTTTTTAGGTTGAATAAATCCTTAGAAAATGTGAACGCTATAGTATAGAAAAATTAAAAAGCGATTACATATTATAAAATATATAAAAATATCAATTAAAATTATAAAAAGTCCTCAGAAATTTATTTATTTATGAAAATTAAGCTTTATTAATCTTTATGAAATATAATCGCTAAAGGTTCTAAAAATTAAAAAACGATTACTCGCAATAAAAAAAAACACCAAAAAATAATAAAAAATATGAAAAAATCCTCAAATATTCATACCGTAATTTAAATTCTATAAACTCTCATCAAATATAAGTGTAATAATATAGAAAAATTGAAAAGCAATTTTATTTATAAAAAATATTTAAGAAAAATAATAAAAAATTATAAAAAACATTTCTCAGAATCTATATACATTATAAATAGAAAAATTGAAAATAAATTACATACATAATAAAAACATACCAAAAAATAATTTTGAAAGAATATAAGAAACCTCCATGACTCATTTATTCATGCAATTTTTAAGTTGTATAAATCCTCAGAAATATTAAAAAAGTGATTACGCAAAACAAAAAGTATCGTAAAATAGTATTAAAAATTTTAAAAAATCCTCAGAGAAAATTTACCACAGAAAATAAAAACATTTCACTGCATAGACATTCACCTTTCTCAGATTTATTTTTCTTTGAAGATTATTTTTTCATCTATTTTTTATTTTTTTATTGCTTGTTTTAAACAATACTTTTTAATTTTTCTAATTTATAATGTTTATAGTTTTGAGGATTTTTCGTATTATTTTTTTATTTTAAGTTTTATGTTGTTAGGAGGTATTGTGCCTGCTATAGTAACTACCTGTCCTATTAGACAAAAAATTTTAAATGATAATATGCTTATTTTATTACAATAACAAATGAACATGTACACCACATGATTTTTAATGTCATGCAAGCACTCAGTTTTTATTTATTTATCTATTTTTATTTTTTAGAAATTTTATTAATTTTTATTTTAGATTTTCTGTCAAAAATCAGTAAAAATAGCTTATGAACTGTAGTGAATAACGAAAATGCTATAGATGATAAAAAACTTAAAATATTTTGAATTGTAAAGTTAAAGGGAGATCAAATTAACCATAATCTAAATTTAACCATACTGACCCTCCGGGAACTTTTATACTCGGATGCATGTATTTTCAAATTTTATTAGTGTGCATTGTATCTAATAGATGGCTCTAGTAGAACTGTGAAGACAATTCCTTTGACCAGTCTCTTTTAACAGGTTAAGTCATTATCAAGCTTTAATTTTATAGGTATCGATTCTGAAGGAAAAAAAAATCAATATTTCAAACTCATATTTGCATGAAATTTAACATCAATATTCTTTCATTCTCTTAAAAACAACGAATTTTCTATGAGCTTTCTCAACGAAATATATTTTTCATTTAATTGTAAGATTTAGGTATAGAAAAAATTTGAGTTGGATATTTGATAGACTGCTTTATATTATTTAATATTACTCAATAATATGCATTACTTAAGTAAGAAGCAAGAAACTAAAGGAAGAAAGAAAATGTCAAGGACGAATGACGTAAAAAGCCATAAAGATAGTAATTTAATGATTTACAAATTCTGTATCATCCTAAAGTACAAACTGTAAACTAGGAAGTTTTTGAATTACTGAGCACTTAAGTTTGAATTACTGAGCACTTAAGTTTTAATTACTGAGCACTTAAGTCTGAGCACTTAAGTTTTTAAAGAATTGTAGGTTGTGATTTGAATACGTAAAGCAGGTAGTGGAATAGACAAAAAAATCTCCCCATGTCTTTCGAAAGAATCTTACGTTTTCTATTTGTGAAGTTTTTATCTAATTTCATAATGAATTTTCTGATATAACTTCATACTCGAAGAGTTGTACAGTTATAGTCTAATAGTGAATACTGTCTTGTTTATAAAATATTTTAATGCAGTAAATGGAACGATGGAAAAGTTTCATGGGATAAGAATTAGGAACAATTTTGTTGTGTTTAAGGCAAAAAATATTTAAAAAAAAATAAATAATAGGTTTTTGTGATGTGGTAATGTAAACGCATACATTTGTAAGTTAAGAATGGCAACAGTGATTGTGCTTGTTTTTGTTTTGCAACAGAAAAATTTATTAGAACGTCGATACGAAATTTAAGTGAATGTAGTAAGTTACGATCATGCTTATACTATTAATAAATATTTGTTTTTTATAAATGACTTATTAATGTTAAATTAACTACATATGAAACCAACTGTAGTGTGATGTTTTAGTATTTCTGAATTTGTGAAATAATACTTCAGCGAAAAAAAATAATTCACATACTGTTACTTACATTGGTATACCACCTTTATTTTGTATTAATTCTCATATTTAATAAGGAAACCCTTAGGAAAATTTGCCATAGGTTAGCCATAAAAAATGCCATACGATATTCCTATGGGGTTTTACCTATGGTAAAATCTTGCCATACACTTCTGCCATATACGTATGGCAAAATTTTGCCATAGGCAAAACCCCATAGGAATATCCTAAGGCATTTTTTAATGTAGCAAATTTCTGTCATTCATGTATGGCAAAATTTTGCCATACGTATATGACAAAAGTGTAGGGCAAAATTTCACCATAGGCAAAAACCCATAGGAATGTCCTATGGCATTTTACTATATGGCAAAATTTTACCATAGGCAAAACCCCATAGGAATATCCTATGGCATTTTTTTATATGGCAAATTTTTGCCATAAAACTAAGATGTGCTACAGTTTATGAAGAAATATTTTTCCATAGGCTATGGTACATTTTTGCCATACAGCATATGGCAACATTTCTCGTTGATATTTTACCATACATTAAAAAATAATTACTTACAAGAATCTTTCGCAATGGATATTAAAAATGTAAAACTTAATAATTGTAGAATAAATATATATCCAGAAAACTTTTTTTAAAATTTCTTTGATAAACTTCCCCTGTTTTACTTGCAGAATCCTTTCTGAATGCTGTTCTTATTCAAATAAATTTTAAACGGTTAGTACTAACCATTAGAAAATGGGCCCGGTGGTCGGAGCGAGTATAAAAAACGTTAATTTGATTGATTGGCATCATAATTAGTTAGATAAGCGTCAGATATTAGGGGAACCTAAAAGAAAGCGAAGTAAAATAATGGTCCGATGGTCGGAGCGAGTATGAAAATTTTTTAAATTTTGATATGTGATACTAAGCTAAAAATTAAACAGACTACTAAAACAACAAAGTACTATGAAAACTCAAAAGATAAAGAGGGGGGCCGGTGGTCGAAGTGTAATTGGTTTAAAATAGACCAAACGGGAGACAAAAGCCGAATTTGTAACGGTGCAACCAGTGGTGGCATGCGAACAAAATTTTATCTATAAAAAAGATGGTTATCTATGAAAAGCTAAGAATAGAAAACAGGCTAAATTAGTTGATCCCCTTCCAGTGATCGAGGGATATAAAACTCAGAAAATTTATGTTGAGTTGTGTTAAGCACAGTTAGAAAAAAGAACGCAATATAGAAACATTGGTAAATACAAAACATATTTAAGACATGATTACAATTGGTAAAACTAACAATTGCTATTGGCAATTGGTCAGTGATATTAAATAAAAATTAATTGGGTATAGGGCATCGCTATGACGAAAAAGTTGTAAACTTAAGGAGAGATTAAATTGTTAAAAGCATTTTTGGTAACAGCAGCAGATGATTTGGCCAGGGACTGTCTCGCTGATGATATTGAAGCAAAATAATTGTCAACCAGTAATCCAGCAAATCTAGTTAGTGGATACATAAGAAATATTAATTGTAAGATAGTAAAACACAGAAACATGTTAAAAAACAATTTAATGGCAAGAAAAAATTAAACATAAAATAAAAATATAAAGTCCTAACATATGTAAGATAATGTAAAAAAGCATTGCAAGAACCTATGCGGAATTAAACTCAAAAACTAATGAGAATGTAAACACTGACTTTGAATATGACACTGACTTTGATATATGAGAGCAAATCGCGATCGCAACGCTCGAGTACGCCATCTAGCGGGAGCCTGTAAATATCAGACATTAATTTATCACGTTTTCATTTAGTTTCATCAAAATCCTTGGCCATGACGGACGCCATTTTCTTAGCAGCAAATAAAAATTAAAATTTCCCTAAGGAAAAGCTGAAGAACTTGAAAAACTAACCAGCACATGCCAAACATTGAAGCAGAACACACCAAGCATTTAAAGAACAATTTCTCGATAATTTTTACCTTTCAATTACCAACAACATAACTTACAATTTGAT